AGGTGCTTTGTTTTGTGTCAATTGTCCCAAAGGATTACGAATTTGGAAGGATGAAATTAGTCTTGTTATGGATGGCAGAAGGTTTAATTGAACACCCAGAAGGTGGAGACAAATAGAAGATGTAGGCCGCAGGTATTTTCACGAATTGGTGTCTAGGTCATTTTTCCAATTGTCAAGGCATAATAAATTGCTATTCATAATGCATGACCTCATAATGATTGGCTCAAGCAGTTGCAGGGGACATCTGTTTAGGTTGGAAATAATTTAGAGGGCGGCAAGCAGAACAAGATTTCAAATAAAGCTCGACATTCATCTTATGTTGGTAGTGAATATGAAGGAATCAGAAAATTCAAAGCTTTCGATGATGCCAGATGCTTACGACCTTCTTAAGGTTTTCGGCGAGTGAAATCAACTACACAACAAGGTACTTGATTCATGATTTGTTGCCAATGTTAAAGTGCTTACGTGAGCTGCGTTTTTGTTGTTATGGGATTGATGAACTACCAGATTCCATTGGAGATCTATAAGCATCTACGGTACCTTGATGTATCCATTCGCGATTAGGAAGTTACCTGATTCGGTGGTAACTCTCTACAATTTACAAGTCTTGTTTTTTTGAAATTTTGTGTTAAACTTGAGAAGTTGCCTCTAAACATGGGAGGCTAGTGAACTTGCGCCACTTTGACATGACTGGCGTGCATATTCATCATCAGAAGAGATGTCACTACATATAGGTAAATTAACTAAAATCTCCGAACATTGTCAAATTTTATGGTGGGTAAAGATTGTGGGCGTAAAATAGGAGAGTTGAAAAACCTATCACATATTCAAGGGGCAATACACATATCAAGAATGGAGAATGTCAGTGGTGTTATGGAAGCAGTGGAGCCAATTTAATGTCTAAGGAGGAGTTAAAGAGTTTATCACTAGAATGGGATGAATCTCATAGTTTACAGAATGACATAGTTGAGAGGGATGTGCTTGACGTGATGAGGCCTTTCAAATTTTTGGACGACTCACCATCAGTGGGTATGGTAGTACAAAATTTCCAACTGGGTTGGAGATGTTTCATTCTCTAAATGGTATTCATGCGATTAAAAGGTAGTAAATATTGCACATCATTGCCACCACTTGGACAACTGCCCGTGCTTAAAGACCTTTACATTGAAGGAATGAGTAAATAAAGTGCCTTGGTTGTGAGTCTTATGGGCAGCAGTGTGGTGCCAACCTTTCCCCTCTCTAGAGAGATTGAGCTTTGAGTTAATGACAGAATGGGGGATTGGTCTGCTTTTGAAACAGAGGAAGTTCAGCCGTTCAGTCATCTCAGTGAGCTTTCCATCATAAATTGTCCCAAACTTGTGGAAGATTACCAAATGATCTTCCTTGTCTCAATTCTCTCAAAATTGATGGTTTGTCCGCAGTTGTTGATTGATGTTTCGAGCCTCGTTCAGCCATCACTTGCATGCTTGTCAATGAATAATGTTATGCTCCCAAGCCTTCCAGCACTCTTAGGGATGAAGAACACAGATTGAACTTGGTTCCCTCACCTTGGATATTAGCCATGTTACAGTTCCCGACTCCCTCTGCGATCCAAGCACATTGATGAGAGTTACTGGCTACTGAAATGTCTAAGCATTTGACTTCAATAACTGCTTTGAGCATTTCTCATGTTGAAAAATTGGCGTTCCTACCGACATGGTTACTCGAGATTTGATGGGACTCGAGAAATTGGGCATTAGTAACTGCGAAGAACTCATAACATTGTGCAGAATAAGGTGAGAACACAAGTATGTCTCCCCTCCCTCTGCCATTTGCAGATTTCTGATTGTCCCAAACTCGTTTGCTTGTTTGAAGAAGAGCCAAGAAAAAGGAGGAGAAGGTTCGAAAGAGCAGCAACTGAGGGGCTGCCTTGCATGACGAGACTCGAGTATTTAAACAATTGAAGAGTGTGGAATGCTGAAGAAACTGCCACAAGAAGGAATGCCAGTTTTTCAACATGAGAAATGCTCAAAGCAGTTATTGAAGTCAAATGCTTAGACATTGCATTAGCAAGTAACTCTGCATCAGTTGTGCTTGGATCACACAGGGAGTCGAGAACTGTAACATGGCTAATATCCAAGGTGAGGGAACCATGTTCAATTGTGTTCTTTGTCCCTAAGAGTGCTGGAAGGCTTGGGAGCATAACATTATTCATTGACAAGGACACAAGTGATGGCTGAACGAGGCTCGAAACATCAATCAACAACTGCGGACAACCATCAATTTTGAGAGAATTGAGACAAGGAAGATCATTTGGTAATCTTCCAACAAGTTTGGGACAATTTATGATGGAAAGCTCACGGAGATGACCGAACGGCTGAACTCCCTCATTTTCAAAAGCAGACCAATCCTCCCATTCTGGCATAAACTTAAAGCTCAGTCTCTCTAGAGAGGGGAAAGGTTTGGCACCACACTGCTGCCCATAGAACTCACAACCCACGCACTTTATTGCACTCATTCCTTCAATGTAAAGGTGTTTAGGTGAGGGTCGTTGTCCAAGAAGCAGCAAAGATGTGCAATATTTTGCAATATTCTAATCAAATAGACACTATTTCAGAGAACGAAGCATCTCCCACCCATTTAGATAATCTGGAATTACCAACAGATGGGAAGTCGTTCCAACAAATTGCGAGGTCTTATCATGTCAAGCACATTGATATCAATTTTGTCATTCTGTGGACTATGAGAGACATCCCATTCTTGTGATTACTCTTTTAACTTCTCCTTAGATATTAAATTGGCATTCCTTACATCCTTACCAGAACTTACATTCTCCAGTTTTGATATGTGTATTGCCCCACGAATGTGTGATTAGTTTTTCAACTCTCCTATTTTATGCTCACTACCTTTACCCACGATGAAATTTGACAATGTTTGTAGCTTTGTTAATTTACCTGTCTGTAGCGGCATCTCTTCTAATGATCGAATATTTGCACCGGTCATATCAAAATGGTGTAGGTTCACCAGGTTTCCCATGTTTGGAGGCAACTTCTCAAGTTGATGACAAGATTTCAAAAACAAGACTTGTAAATTGTAGAGAGTTACCACTGTGTCAGGCAACCTTGTAATCCCAGAATAGGATATATCAAAGTACCGCAAGTGCTTTAGATCTCCAATGGAATCTGGTAGTTCATCCATCATAGCACAATGTAAACGCAACTCTCGTAAGCATTTTAACTTTGGCAACAAATCATGAAACAAGTACCTCGATGTACTCATACTCCGTGGAAAAAACTGTAAGAGTGTTCGTAAGCATTTGGCATCATCAAAAACTTTAAATTTTTTGATTCCTTCATAATTGCTACCAACATAAGATGAATGTCGAGCTTTGTCCGAAATCTTGTTATGCCTGCCATACTCCAAATTATTCTTGAACCTAAAACATTTGTCTCCTGCGACATCTTGAGCCAAATCATTGATGAGGTCATGCATTATGAATTGTGATTTGTTACCGCTTGACGGTTGAAAAAATGATCTTGACACCAATTCGTGAAAATACTTGCGGCCTAAATCTTCCACTTCGTCTCCAACTTTTGGTTGCTCAATTAAACTTTCAGCCATCCATAGCAAGACTAATTCCTCCTCCTTGAATTCATAGTCCATTGGGATAATTGCGCAGTAAGAAAAGCACCTCTTCAAATGGGAAGGGAGATGAAGGTAGCTCAATTTCAATGCTGAGAGAATGCCACTTTCCTCATTCCATATATTGCTATTTAGTATTTCTTTCCATTCACGCTCTTCTTGTTTACATCGTAATAAGCTGCCAAGGGCCCTAGCTGCCAAGGGCAAGCCTCCGCACCTATGCTTAACAATTTTCTTCCCAATTGATACCAATTCCGGGCATTCCATGATATTTCTATTCTCAAATGCATGATGGGCAAAGATTAACCAACAATCATCATATAGTAAGTTTTTCAAATTGAGATATTCATCCATACCCATCTGCTTTACAACACCTCCTTGTCGCGTTGTCACAATGATTTTACTTCCAGGTGCTCCGGCTTCAAAGGGCAATCGTAGCGAATTCCACCCATCATGTCCATAGTGCCACACATCATCTAGAACAAGCAAAAACTTTTTTTCTGCCAGTGTGTTTCTTAGTTGGACTTGAACCTCATTTAACTTGCCCAAATCACATGGACGGTGAGTGAATGACTCGAGAATTGCCTTTGTTGTTCCCAGAATGTCGAAGTCAACAGAAACACAAACCCATGCTTGCATATTGAAATGCTTTTCCACTTTGTCGTGATCATAAATGTGCTGAACTAGTGTAGTCTTGCCGATCCCACCCATGCCTACAATAGGAATTACATCAAACTTTTTTGCAGTAGGTGCATCCCCAAGTAGCAATTCGATAATTTGCTTCATGTCTTCATCTCTGCCATGAATGTGAGGCTCCTTCAAAGATGTAGTTTGTGATCTCTGCCATAGATCTGTAGACATCCTTCCAGCAAGTCTTTTATCCAAACCAAGATCTTTTCCTTTCGTAGCAACTTCTTGTAATTGACTAGTAATCTCATTTAGCTTAGACCCATTTTTTAAATTGAATGGAAAAATAGAAGAGAGGCGTGGAAACTTAGCTGGTCTTCTTCCCATCGTTGTCTCCTCCGCCATTATCTTCCTTTCGAGAGCTTCAGTGGCAAAATCATCCAATAAGTCATCTGCATCGTAAGCCAAAGGTTGAACCTCTTCTAGCCACTTTTTGATATCCTTGTCGTACACTTGTTTGTTCTCTGCATCAGCCAACAGAGTCTCTAAATCCTCTAATGCCTTCTTCAGATTCTGGATGCCAGTGCCAACGTCCGCTGTGCTCACTAAGTTGATTAAATAAGAGGACAATTTATCAACCGTAGCTTGTACAAATGGAGAGATAAAGATCCCAAATACGTCCATGGTGTTTGTTCTGAAAGAAGGAAAGGTAATGAAACCAAGCAAAAAAAAAAAAAAACAGGTCGAACAACCTCTGCAAATTTTAAACAACTTTGGTGTGTAGGTGAAGGATAAGAAAGGTAAGAAAGGAAGCAACACAGAATAACTTTGGTAGGTAAGAAAGGTAAGAAAGGAAGCTGTAAGGTAAGAAAGGTAAGAAAGGAAGCTGAAAGAATAACTTTGGTAGGTAAAGGTTGTAAACTCAATACAAACAAAGCACTGCATAAATCAAAAACATGGTCAATACTCAATAAGTAGACCCCAAAATATGTTGAGAAGAAGAAAAAAAAAAAGATGAATATGTGGAAGCAATCAATTATAGAGTAATTTAATAAAATAAAAGGAGAAGAAAAGAAAGGAATTAGAATAAAGGTCATTTACACACGAGTCCTAATTTACGAACTTATACTCTATTAAATCATAATTAAGATGTTTTGGACCTTCAAGTCTTATTAAATTTTTAATAATTAGAATTACCTTTCAAATAATGATTGTTCATTATTTATAATTATGTATAAAGAAATATGATGATTTGACATTTATTTTGATTTTTAAAACTTTAAAACATCAATTTCAAATTGAAAAAAGTAAAAAAAAAAAAAAAATTATGTAAATTTTTTGAAAACACTTTTAAGAAAATTCTACTTAATTGTTTTCTGTATTTTTTTGTTTTTACTAAATTTTTTTCATATTTTAAGCAATTTTTTAAATTTTTAGACACACTTAACATAAATATACTTAAAAAGTATAATTTTTGTGAATTTTTTTTTAAAAAAAATCACTAAATACCAAAAATACAAAAAAAATAGTATATTTTTCGTATTTTTGTGTATTTATTAATTTTTTAAAATATGTTTTTACAAATATTTTACTTTTTAGATACATCTAAGTAAGGTGCATCTAAAAAAGTATAAAAAAATGCTTAAAATTTTAAAAGTATTCACTAAAAACAAAAAAAAAAAGAAAAATAAAAAACTAAATTTTTAAAAAACTTAATTCAAAAAACTGAAACCAATACACTGAATGTTTTTTTTTTTTGAAAAATTTGAAAAACTGAATTATTTTTTTGTACAAAACTGAAAATTTTGTGTCTATAAAGGAGTATGATGATGGAACATTGATGTGCAAAACTAAAAATAAAAATAAAAAATTTAAAAATGAAAAAACTGATAATGTTCTCAGTTTTAAAATTTGAAAAAACTAATAATATTCTTGGTTTTATTAGATAGTTGAATCAAACCAATAAGTAGAAGGGCAAAATCGTTTAATCTCATACTCTGTTTTTTTTATCAGTTAGTGAAACAATTATATGGAACATTACTATGCAAAATTGATAATATTCTTAGTTTTAAATATTGAGAAAAACTGATAATATTCTGAGTTTTACTAAATAAAACTTATTTGTTCAAAAAATCTTAAATAGGATCTGAACTACCATATCATTTATAAATAAGACTTTTGAATAATTAACTCTAGAATAAATTATTTAATAAGAAAATTATATAAAAGTTTACTTTCTAAACCCAATAATGTGTACAAGATATAATTGACAGGTGATTAGAGAAAGATATGAGAGAGAATTTCTTTAAATATCCTAATTAATTGTCAAATCATTAAATTTAGGGTAAATTACACTTACACTTCCTGAGGTTTGAGTTTAATACATATCACCCTCTAACGTTTGGAAAAATATACTAACCCCCTTGTCATTGTAATTATTTAGACGGAATGAAGACATTGAACTCATGCACTTTCTCTTTTTTTGCTTTGCTTTACTTTCTCTTTTTTTTCCCCTTTCCCTTATTTTTTTTAAATGTAATTTCCTCTATTTTTCTACTAGGAGTTATTACCTTTTATATAAGCAAGGGGATTTGTGAAATGAGACTATTAACCACAGGGTTGGGAATGTAATTTCTAAAACGTCAAGGAATGAGTAGTAATTAACCCAAATTTCAAGGAGTGTCAATGTAATTTACCTTTAAATTTAACAAGTAGTAAGTCTTCTAACTTTATCTTAGGTTTTAATATAATCTTTTTTTAATTCTTCCATGTAAGCACTTTAACTTTGCTTTTGCTTCAATGTAACTATTTATTTTTTATTTTTTATATTTAAATCTCTAACTTTAACCATTAGAGAAATTTATTTATAAATCTCATTAGAGGACTTGTAACCCAATCAATTTACAAAGTATTCTTGTGTTCCATCTAATCCTATACATTTGAACTTATACTTCAATAGATTTGTTATCCTTTATTAGAAGTATTATGTGAACTATTTTACCCTTATAGACTTATATTATAATATATATATATATATATATATTATACCATATATCTAAGAGCGAGAAAATTATTTATTAGATATCTTTTATCTATGATATATATAAAATAGAAAAAATTAGTAACAAATCCAATTTAAGGAGGGTATAAGGTATTAGATTCAGTGGATGTTTTTTTATTGGTGAAAGGTCCACCATTTGTGAAATAGTTTGGTGAGAAGTCCTTTTGTTATTCTGGGAAGACATTTTGTTTTTAATTTTACTCCTTAATTTATATGTTGATCTTCTTTTATTTGTTCACTTTCATTGACTATCTGTTCAAAATTTATATCTATTTGTTAAAAAATAACTAAATCCAAAATATATCTGTTCAACAAAGAAAAACAATTATCATTAGAGAGGGATGATTAACAACAACAACAATAAAGAAAAAAAAAATTATCTTTTTGTTTTATCTGTTCAACAACAACAACAAAGAAAAAAAAATTATTTGTAACAACAGATCTATATTCTAGGGTTTTTGTTCAACAAATCTATATTCTAGGTTATTTTGCAATTAAAATGTATTTGGCCTCACAGCCATCTTGAATGCCAAACTCTAGGTGACCAAAGACGTCGCCAAAGCAGATCTAGCGATACCTGATTACACAGATCACATGAATACAACAAACTAAACCGTAAACCCAAAATTATGGGATTACTTGGATCTTTATACACATGTTGATATGCACCCTTCGAAACACTCATCTGATGTATCTATACTACATCTAGGCAAACATCTAAAGACCCTGCAATGAAGGATTTGTTGAGATTTGAGAATGAATAGGTTGAGATATTCAGCGTTGACGAACACCGGATAGAGTGTTACTCGTCAGAGTTGACTTCTATCGCCAGAGTTCGCCATAAACCATGAAAGGGAGAGTTAGTGCGGCAGATGATCGTCTTAGATCAGGTTTCTCTACAGGTGAAGACCGAGAGTAGATAAGAACCTTGAAATGCTATGTACCAACGCCGGAGCAAGCCAATGTGACATCATTTTTGAAAGATCTAGATCTACCACCACCGTCTCCTCGTTTATCGCCGTATGAGAGTATAGCACTGACTCCGCTAGACATATTGAACGTTGGTAGCAAAGAGTCGTTTTGAATCTTCTTCTTTAGGCCTTTGGCGGCGGAGGACGATAGAAGAGGAGAAGAAGGAAGAGGAAGAGGTGTTGCGATAGTTCGCTGGTGGTGCAATGCGATCGAGAGGTCGAGCAGCGACTCTAACGACTTAGGTGACTCCAACAACTACAATACAGAAAGAAAGAGAGTTAGGGTTTGAAAAGCGCGCATGCACGAGAGAGAGAGAGAGAGAGAGAGAGAGAGAGAGAAAGAGAGAGAGATGGGGTTAGGGACATGTTGGTTATTTTGTTTAAGTTTGTCCTTTTGGACAAAGTACTCTAGCGCTTGGACTTTTGACTAAACAAAATTGAAAATTGAACTTTTCACCCAAGTGCCCTATAAAATATTGTATATAAATATAGAAGATTATTATTCTTACTGTTTTGTTTTCCTCAACGTAAGGGATTCACTTTTATCAAAGATCTTCTTTCCCATTATTTTACAATAAGCTTCTGTTATGGAAGAACATTTAGAAGAGAAGGTTAGTTGTACATATAGACTAATGATAGAGATTGTGGTGGATTCGCAATAGAGATGATGGTAAATCGACGATGAACAATCATTTTTTGCCATTGTCATACATAAATCATAGTCTCCCTGTCGGTTTGTGTAGTCATCGATATTGTGTAGTTATGTACTAATATTATTCCGGAGTTTATTATATACCGGTTTTTCTAAAAGGTGCATCAATATATATATGAACTATCTGATGATTTTTTATATATTGTTTGGTGATTAGTTGTATATTATGGGTGTTTGGAAAATTATTATTTTAGTAAGCTAAAATTGTTGTGTTTAGGAAGATGATTGGATTTTTTTGTAATTGGATATGATGTTTGTGAGAGAAAAAGTGAAATGATTATGGATTGTATGTGACATTTTGTTTTATTAACTATTTTAGCATATTTTGTCTTTTTTGTGAATTTTAGCCTAAAAGAGGCTAAGGCTGTGTTTGGAGAAGCTCTCCAAATACATCTTCACCCATTGATTTCAGTGTGGTATTTGTTTTAAGTTTTCAAATTATAATTCCACACCCATTTTTGAAAACTTCTTTCCAGGCGGGAAAAATTGGCTAACCCGGTCGTCTCCTGAACATCCGGCCGGTTGACCAGAATAGTGTTCGATTTTTATTTTTTATTTTTATTTTTGCACCTGTTATTAATTTATTTTAAATAAAAAATATTTTCAGAAAAATTTTCAAAATTTTTATGAGTTTTGAATAGGACTTTGGGTTATGTGTTTGGTTATGAGTTGTAAGTTTTTGAATTAAATATCATATGTCACATCATTCATTTCAAACTCAATTCAAAATTATTTTCAAAACTCATAACCAAACAAATTTTTCACACTCAAATTATAATTCCAAAACTCACAATTTTAAAATATAACTCTATTCTCAAATCATATTTAGAAAACTCTACTAAACGCTACCTAAAATTTTTCTTGCCAAACACCCTCATTTGTTACTATATTTGTTGGTTGAGCAATCATTTTTATTGCTATTGAACAATTGAAATAGTCA